TGAATGTATGTACTGGGACAAGTGAGAACACTTTCAGTAGCTTCAGCTGGTGGCAGTGTTTAGAGTCTCCACCAGCTGCAGACTGGTGAGTGTGATGGCTCAGACCAGATGGATCTGGGCCTCTTGTGGCTGTGTTAGAAAGACAAGCCCTACTCTTTTCCTCTGCCTGAGGGAGGTGGAGACAGCCTGAGCAACCCATTGCTCTGGTCCCAAGGTTAAGTGGTGGCAGCCTGCAGCATCTCCAAGTGAAAATGACTACGAGGTGATTATTGTCCTCTGAAGACTTGCCTTGCTGAACTCTGCAGTCTACTTGGGGAATTCACAGCGTGGTTTGTGTTGACCCAGATGACAGTGTTGCCAAGACTGGGGCCGGGCAACAACACGAGTCTCCCTTCCCACTGCACGCTTTGATTTGCTAGGTAGCTCATGACTTAGTGTTTCCCCTCTCTTCCTGCTAAGTGTCACTTGTCCTTGTCCCACCTGTTTTCACAAGTGATTAACCTTTACTGCCAATCATGTCTTCTCCCAACTGTTCTTTACCTGTTGCATCAGGTCCAGAGTTCATATTCAGATTTAAAGTCTGAAACCATCTCCAGCCTTTTAAGTCCCCAGTGAGAGTACACTGCATTTATTTGCTATCTTCTGAACCTTTCTGTGTTGTGTCTTCCTTCTGGAGTAAGCCTCCTTCCTCCCAGAGGCAAGCGCTTTGTTGCTGTGGGGAGTGGGAAAAGCCAAATGACCAGAGAGCATACATCCAGTGCTCCGAGTGCCGGAATGTTCCCATCCTAATTTCTCATGACCCTCCGCTCGGCTGCTTTCGCTAGGATGGTCTTTATCTCAGACAGCTGGACCTTCTCCTTTAGACTTTAGGAACTGGGGGCAGGGCCCAAGGCTGAAGCTGGAGCTGAGTGGGAGAGCATTTGCTTAGCATGTGCAAGGTCCTGGGTGCGATCCCCAGTACTGCCACAAAAGGCTGGGAGGAAAGGGACTCAGGTTGGAGTTAGCAGGGCAAAGGTTTTGGTGATAGCACTCACTGAGCTTGGGAAGCTTCCTCGCTGCTGAGCCTCATTCTCTTACTGTGGGCTTCTGCCTGGGTCTTCTCTTGCTCAAAGCAGATGTGGACTTGAAGCATAGTATCCTATGAGATGGCCAGGGGTTGTACATAGTAACCCTCCAGGCTTCCGTTTTCAGCATCTTAGATCACAGAGCTTGGTGATAGAATTGTATGAGGGAGAGGGAAAAAAATATCAGAAAGGAGTCTGGGAGGTTCTTATTCTACAACCTAAGAGAAAAGTGATCTGGTTTGCTAAAAATCACTTCTAAGTTGGTGTGCCCTTAGATGTCTAGATTTCATGTCTAACTAGCAGTAGCAAATGAATAAATATATAGATAGAGTCTCATTGAAGAAGCAGTGGCTGCCCACCCCTCAAGCATATTTCCATTTCAGGCAGTGCTTTGCAGCTGTAAGTTTCCCCTAATCCAGCAGAGTGACTCACGGTCTTGATCTTCACATCCCCCACCATCCCATCTCAGTCCTTCCCCACCCCTCCCTGGCCTGTGCCCTTGGGGAGATGCAGCACGTAGAGCTGTTCTGATTCAGTCCATCGAACTCACACCATGGGTCTGTGTTAAGTTTAGTGAAAGGTGGACCAGTTACAATCCCAGCTTTCCTGCACTCGCTGCCTGCCAGTGACTCCTCTGAGCTTGTTTGTTGTTCAGTTATAAATGACATGGTTTTGGTGACAGCTCACAATGTCTGCTTCATTGTAGACAGTCCAGCTATTACTATCGTTTCCCAGGAGTGTCAGGTTTCTTTTCCAAGGAAATATTATTTTACCTACTTTTTCTTTCTTACTCAGTCTCTCGTATGTTAATACATATAAAATATATTTTTAAACACAGCAGTGTCTCATACCCAGATTTATCTCAGGGCCTCACTAAAGAATGGTGACACGGACCATGCTCGCATTCCACACGTCATCGTGGTTCAGGGGCAGCACAGCTGTGTGTGTTAGTGTAAGTGTAATGCACTAGACTCAGCAGTTATCCCGTTTGCAACAGCTCTTTACCTACTTCGTGGTCCTGTATTTACTTCTCAGCCCCGCCTCAATCCTAATAACACAGCTGTCATTCTTTGAAGTAGCGTTTTTGCTACAAGCATAAGGGAGCACGTGCTCCATACCGAATGACGTCATCTGTCCTGGGGTGGGTGTTTGCACGCTGAGCTCTAACGGCTTCACTCTGTTGCTCTCTCGTTCTCCCTTTTACTCACCTTCTCCTCCCTTCATTCTGTACACCTTCCATCTTTACTCCTCTCCCCTCCCTCCATCACTTCCTCCTTCCCTTCCTTAGTCATTCACTCATTCAGTCTTTCACCACTTTGCTTATTCATTCACTCCATCATTCATTCACTCCATCATTCATTCACCCCATCATTCATTCACTCCATCATTCATTCACTCCATCATTCATTCACTCCATCATTCATTCACCCCGTCATCCATCCATCCATCCATCCATTCATCCATCCATCTATCCATCCATCCATTGATTTTCTCTTTCACTTGTTGGCTCCTTTATTCCCTCCTCTTCTCAATTAGTCTGTCTGGAGTCATTGATACTTTTGGTAACAATCGGTAGAACTTCCTTTCAGATCAAGAAACTTTTGGCTCTTAGATAGGCTGCTCAGAACTGTGTGCTGCTGGGTGGGCTCACAGTTAGCTGACTCAGGGTGACAGGAGCCAGCCATCCAAGTGCCATGACGGTATTATCCTCCACTCTACACTTTCACCTTACCACATTCCCTGCAGAGCAGCTGCCTTAGCCAGTCTGCCCTGTGGCATGGTGTCTTCAGTCCAATAATGGGAAGAGACATAGTGATGTGACTTGGATCTGATGCCCATCCTGCATCCAGCAGCAGGGCTAGATCATGTGTAGTCATAAGTGCTCTCTCAGAGGCCCTGCAAATGGAGCAAAGGGAGGAGCATCCACATCCACCCTGTCAGGTGAGGTACTGACCTACGCTGCAAAGGCACAAGAAGCCCCAGACACATTGTTTGCAGTGAGGCAGCAGGAGAGGAATATGTAACTAAGCAAGTGTGACAGTTATATTGGTTCTATAGTAGGCCGAACCGGGCTTGAAGTGTGGGTGGTCAGACTCATTTAGCACAAGCATGAAGTGAAGATGCCACAGCTGGGCACAGGGGACTTTGGGGAGCTATAGTATTTTTAATTGATTAAAATTAATCTAATAAATTAATAAATTAGCTTTGGAGACAGGGTTTCTCTGTGTAATAGCCTTGGCTGTCTTGGACTTGCCTTGTGGACCAGGCTGCCTGAAACTCACAGAAATCTGCCTGCCTCTGCCTCCCAAGTGGTGGGATTAAAGGTGTGCGCCAACAGGACCAGCTGGCCTTAGTATTTTTAAAATTCAAGCATTCTGTGCTTTTTTTTTCATAAGTAGATTCCTAATCAGAATGCCCCCTTCAATTGATCATTGGGTTATTTATTTATTTATTTATTTATTTACAAAGGGGGAATGAATGACTTTTTGTTTTTCACTTTAGAATTTGTTATGGTTTAGAGAATTTAGATAATTGAATTTTAGTAGTCTTTGAAGCAAAAACTGGTTTTAAAATAGTTCCAAGAAGTCCAGTTTATTAATTTGTTTTATAATCCAGGTGTCCTGAGACTAAACTGCTTTTGTGGATCATGAGCTCCTTGTTGTAAGGAATACAGAACATTCCCTTATTCTGTGCCCAGCATCCCCCGCAGCAGTTCAGTCCCCATGGTAGCTGGCACTCATAGCACATCTGTGGGAGCATATGCCCAGCAGTGGTCCTTCAGTGCTCTGTCATACAGCACAGCACAGTGGGCCTCATTCAGCTCCTGTTGCATTGGGTAGACTGTGCCCCTCGGGATGAGACACTTGGGTGGACTGTGCCCCTCAGAGTGAAACACTTGGGTGGACCATGCCCTTCAGGGTGAGCCACTTGAGTGTACCATGCCCCTTGGGGTAAGCCACTTGGGTGAACTGGGCCCCTTGGGGTGAGACACTTGGGTGAACTGTGCCCCTGGGGTGAGACACTTGGGTGGACTGTGCCCCTGGGGTGAGACACTTGGGTGGACTGTGCCCCTGGGGTGAGACACTTGGGTGGACTGTGCCCTTGGGGTGAGACACTGTGCTCCATTTTCATTCGTCTTGGCTTTTTCTTTCACATCTACACTTAACCGAGGCTTTTGTTTATTCTTGCTCATCTTAACTTTTAAAACCTTATATTTTAAAACCTTTCTATTTTGTGAGAATCAATGAGAGATACCCAGGACCCTTTCCTACCGGTCTTTGTTATGTGAGATGTCTGCGCAGTGTCACAGCCAGGGCATTGACACGGATACCATCCATGTCTCTCCTTGATTTATTCACGTTTAATTACCTGCCTGCCTGCTTTCCTTCCTCCCTCCCTCCTTCCCTCCTTCCCTTCTTCCCTTCTTCCTTCCTTCCATCTTTCCTTTCTTTTTATGTGCATGCTTTGCTTGCATGTATGTCTGTGTACCACAAGTAAGCCCTCAGAGGCCAGAAGAGGGCATCAGATCCCCTGGAACTGGGGTTACACACAGTTGTGAAGCCTCTCTGTGGGTGCTGGGAATCGAACCCTGGTCTCTCACAAGAGTGGCCAGTGAGTGCTCTGAATTGCTGAGCAACCTCCCCAGCCCTGCTTTTCTATTTCTTGGTCCAAGAATTTAGCTAAGACAAGGCACCTACAGAGTTGCCTTTTACTTGGCTAGCTGAGTAAGTTTTCATGTTGTCAGAGCTTTTAGAAAGGCCATTTCTGTTCTGATGAGTGTCATTTGAATAACTCAAGGTCACCTTAAATTTCCTAAGAGGACACAGATTGCTCTGGGTACCATTTACACCGGCCTCAGGCAGCTCAATGAAGGGCTGGTAGAGTGCAAGTCATTTATGACCAAAGGGTCCTGACCCAGCATCCTTCCCCCAAAAGGGCAGTTCTGCACAGAAGATGTGGATGAGTGTCTGCTACAGCCCAATGCTTGTCAGAATGGAGGCACCTGCACCAACCGCAACGGAGGCTACGGCTGCGTGTGCGTGAACGGCTGGAGCGGGGATGACTGCAGCGAGAACATCGATGACTGTGCCTTTGCCTCCTGCACACCAGGGTCCACCTGCATTGACCGTGTGGCCTCCTTCTCCTGCCTGTGTCCGGAGGGAAAGGCAGGTAAGGCCAATAGAACGACCGAGATGGAGGTGGAGGAGGCCGGAGGATGCACACTCTGGCCTTCTCTTCCATATGACACCTGTGTTTTTACAGTCTGAGGGGGAAAATCACACAGGACCATTCTGGAATGCAGTCTGGTAGTGAAGGGCTAGTCATCTTTCCTAGACATTCAGCTCCAGTAGAATTCCTCAAGACTCTGGCCAGAGAAGCACCTCAGAACTCCAGAATAGATGACCAATCCATGGACTCGGAGAGACAGTTTAAATGAAATACCCATTTATTCAGAAGAGGCTGTTTCTGCCTGTGTGCCTCTAGGAGTCTTTTAGGAAGAACTCTTTAGAGGGCACAGGTTACTTTGTTTTTCTGGACAGCATCTAGTTTTAGGAGTAGCCAAGCACTGCAGGCAAACCCATTAGAAGAAGCAAACCCGTGCCTGGCAGTCTTGAGACATCCTTGTCTTTCTGCCTTTCCCAAAGCCACACCTCTAGCTTTGTGGAAGAAGCCTTGGCCAATTGTGGACTGGAAAATCCGGTTCCCACCAGAACTGTGGAGAGCAAGAAGCCTAACAGTAATGCCTCCTCCCTCCTTCACTTCCTCATGCCTGGGCACTTGGCAGGTCCCCACCCCCTCCCCCTGACACCTGATCCAGGAATGTGCTGATGTGATTCCTTGGGAGCTGGAGAATAGACAGGTGATGTTCAGTTCCGAGACTCATAAGATGCCAGTGAGCCCGTGGCATCAGGGAACGTGACATTGGAGAAGCGGGTGCCGGATAAAACACTGGAAGCATACTTACATGAACACTTATCAGAAACTCAGATTTAATTGGACGTCTGCTATTTTTGTTTGCTAATGTTGGTACTCTCCACCGGATATCTCCATTTTCCTGCGTTCCTCCACAAATACACGCCCTGTCCTGAGAGCTCTAGCATAGAGCTCTCGCCTGCGCCCAGGTTGTCAGCAGCGGCTGGGAGCTGTGGCGTGTGCCTAGTGTAGGAGCACATGAACAGAATGTTGCCTCCAGATCTTAATATTAAGTTTGGTTCTCCTGCTTTTTGATGAAGAAAAAGCATTTCTCTAAGAGAGATTTTTTGTGTGTGTGTTCTCTTGCTCTATCCTGAGACAGGTCTCCTGTGTCATCTGGATGATGCCTGTATCAGCAACCCTTGTCACAAGGGGGCGCTGTGTGATACCAACCCCCTGAATGGGCAATACATTTGCACCTGTCCACAGGGCTACAAGGGCGCTGACTGCACTGAAGACGTGGATGAGTGTGCTATGGGTGAGTGCCTTCCGTCTTTTCTGGACTTGGAGGTGTGTCAGCTCAGCAAGTGTTTCAGCAGGAGTCTTTTGTACATTAGCAGATGTTACACCCAAACCTTGATTTCTTTTTCTCGTTCTACACACATAATTTACAATCAACCTTTTCTGAACATGCATTCTGGGAATTAAATGCAATGGCAGGTCTAGACTTGATTCTTAATAGACTCTCCTGAGCTGGGATGATGGCTCAGCTGTTAATTATGTACTATGTTTGCAGAGGATCCAAGTTCAATTCCCAGGACCCACATCACACAGCTCACAATTCCTTGCAACTCCAGCTCCGGGAATATGACCTCATCTTCTGGCCTCAGACATACACATAGCTAAAAGTAAATAGATAAAATTAATATAAAGTTCTACCTCAGTGAGAGTTTAAAAAAACAGCACAAAATTGGAGATCACGCTTGTCATTTCTTCTTATAAATTAATGAATAAACCTGAAAACAGAGTGATCTTGCTTAAAGTGAGGCCCTTGTGTTATAGATTTCAGACTGGTCAGTGTTATCCACATTTGTGGGAACTCTGGCAAGCGCTTGGTCCCGATAACTGGTTCTTACGTATTACAGCCAACAGTAACCCTTGTGAGCATGCAGGAAAGTGTGTGAATACAGATGGTGCCTTCCACTGTGAGTGTCTGAAGGGCTACGCAGGGCCTCGCTGTGAGATGGACATCAACGAGTGTCATTCAGACCCCTGTCAGAACGATGCCACCTGCCTGGATAAGATCGGAGGCTTCACCTGTCTGTGCATGCCAGGTAGGCTGGTCAGTTGTGCTGACAGGACTCACTGACTCCGTGCACTATGCCACCGTGTGGTTCCCCAGCTGATTGAGCAGAATTGAGTCCAGAACACCCCTGCAAGACCCATAATTCAGAGAAAGTAAAAGACAACCGGGGTAGTCAGAGCAAAGCAGACCAAATCAAACAAGACCACCATGTCAAGCTCCAGCTTCACACAGTGGGAAGCCTCAGGAGCCATTTCCCACTAGAAGCCTCTAAACATTGAGTTTCCTGATGCTCTGATGGGTTGCATGGCACATCCCATCTTACTTACAGAATTAGATGTTAGCCACACTTAATGCAGGCACCAGCTGCTTACCCAGAATGAGACCCTAGCTCAGTTGTGTCCTGGGGGGACTGCTCAGTGGACAAAGACAGGATGACGTGACACAGCACAGGTTGCTGTTCTGTTAATAATGGAAGCCAGCACTCTAGCCTCGGAAGGAGCTCCTCCTAATCCTGACCTGCACCTCAACTTGCACCACTTCAGTTGGTCTTAGGATGAGATTGGGGGTTGTCCAGAAAATAGAAGTTGGCCAGAATGTGGGGAGACTTTGTTTACATGCTGTGTCCTGGGGTATACCCTTGCATTGATTACTTTTCTTGTTGCTGTGGTGAGGTACCTGACAGAACCAATTAAAGTCCCACAGGCAAGTCAGTTCATCGTGGCAGAGGAAGACTTGGGGGCAGGGTGTATGGCGGCAACTCCTCATATTTTGGTGGGTTGGGAAGCAGAGATAACAGAAACAAAAGCAAAACTAACTGTTTTCTTAAAGTCCCATTGCTAGTCAACCAGCCAGGCCCGGTCTCTCACAGGTTTCCTCGCCTCCTTACACTGCACCAGCTGGGACCAGGTGTTCAGGCACATGAGCCTGGGAGGGGATTTCACTTCATACCATACCATCCCTGCCCCTTTTCACACTGGCAAAAGTATCTTACGACATCTATGTTTTGTCCACTACAGAGGCTATTCTAGCATATCAAAGACTTTGAAGAACTGCTCATGCTTACAGGGGCTCTAGCTATCTCTGCACATGTGTGCTTTCTTGGCTGGAATGCCCCTTTATTCTGTCTGAACTGCATGTGTGGTCCATTTGTGCAGGTTTCAAAGGTGTGCATTGTGAACTGGAGGTCAATGAGTGCCAGAGCAACCCGTGTGTAAACAACGGGCAGTGTGTGGACAAAGTCAATCGCTTCCAGTGTCTGTGTCCCCCTGGTAAGTGCCCGCCACCTGCCCCTGGGTTCTTCCAAAACACCAAGCCAGCTGACCATGGGCTGGGGGCGGGGGAGTGAATGTGTGTGGGCTGAGCATGAGGAAGTCATTAAAGTGGCTACTTGGGAAGAGACTTTGTGGATGCTGAGGTGGGGAACTGTTTCAGCCAGTGTGTCTTCCAAGTCTTTTGTGGCCTGAAGTCCAAGTCTGTTCTCGAATGGCCTCTGACCTCCCTGTCTGTGTGTATATTTCAGAGTGCTCACACCTCACAGAAGCGTAGGATTTTATTTTTTCCTCGTGAATCATATCCCTAAATCCCAAGCAAGACATTTATTCCATTAAGTCCAGGCCAGCAACATACATCAGATTTTTTCCAAGGTTCTCTGCCTCTGCTGATGTTGAAGGCATGCCAGCCGACTGCCGTGGACAGTGGCTTTTTTACTTACTCTCCAGAGTGAAGATCCTTTTAGTCTGGGGATGCACGCCATCTTTTAATAGTGTTTCAGTTCCTCTTGCTTCCCCTGGAGACAGACCCAAGAATCAGGGGTAGAACCCCAATGCCTGTGACCTCCCAGCTTTGCCTTGGTGACCCCATGACATATGCTGTGCCAGTGATTCAACCCACTGTTTCAGTACAGGAAGATGGGTCAGTCTCTGATATGTATCACCTCGGTGCCTCTTCCAGGCTTCACAGGACCCGTGTGTCAGATCGACATTGATGACTGCTCCAGCACTCCCTGCCTGAACGGGGCCAAGTGCATCGACCACCCGAACGGCTATGAGTGCCAGTGTGCCACGGGTAAGTGCCAGCACACTCCTCGTCCCTTGGAAGTCCCTCTGTCAGCAGGGCGACTGTCTTCCACTAGCTACTCAGTGGCCGAGCATAAAGGGAGCTGCCCTCCCTCTAACAGCCAGGCTCATGCTGGAGCCTTTGCTGGAGACTTCCTGCTGCTCTTACAGGCCCCACCTGCAGCCCCGCCTCATTTTCACCACACAGTAGTTCTGCCCACATGTTCAGCTGGTGTCTGTGTTTATGGAAAGGATTTGAGTAACAGTGAGCTTTCTAGCTGGCTTCCCTGGTTCCTTGGGAAGAGGAGAATTCTAGAAGAAAGCTTCTCCTTTACTGAGGCTCTCTACAGGGCCCGTCTGTGGTCTCCGGAGGCAAACCTTTATGCGGTACAAGTACAGATATCCTTGAGAGTTGGCTGTGACTGACAAGAGAGAGCTCTCTCTAGGAAGGTTTGAACCACCTCATGATTTGATTCTATATTCTGAGAAGCGTTGGTCAAGCTGGTACACATTTCTGGGTCTTAGAACATATTGCTCACTTGGGAGTGGGTTTCATAAGCCAAGTGACTGCATCACACTTGCTGTGCTGAAGCATAGGTTGTCAATGTGGAGAAGGACTCAAATGATTAAAAAAAGAAACTTCTTCCTTTTTTGACTGTTTAAGATAGAAGCCACAGGGATGGCTAGAGAGAGAGCTGGAGCAAGAACACTTGCTGCTCCTGCAGAGGACCTGGGTTTGGTTCCCAGCACCCACATAGCAGCACACAACCACCTGTAACTCCAGTCTCAGGGAATCTGACACTCTCTTCTGGCCTCTGTGGGCACCACACACACACATGGTTCACATGCATGCATCTAGGCAGGCAAACAAACAAAGTCATGAGAAGAGTCAGAGCATGAGTTAGAAACAGGTTCTTAGTGCATGGGCATTGTGCCTCTGATTTCTCTCAGGTCTCAGGAGAGCACATTTAGTTCTCACAGCGGTGCAGAGCTGATGTCTGTTGTAGGTGTGGACTCTGAGCTCTTTTCCTCTTAGGGATAATTGCCTCCTGTTGGAGATGCTCCAGATGCTTCCCAGCCTGTTTCTGTGGAGCAGGCCTTCACAGCAGTGAGGTTAAGTTGGAGGTCTCATGTTTAAGGACAGGAGGGATGTCGAGATGCTCAGTGGGCACCACACCTGCCACACAAGCCTGAAAATATGATTCTACTCCCAGACCTCATGGGACAAGGAGGGAAAGTTGTCCCCTGATGCCCATATGGGTGCTATGGCATGTACACACTCACACCACCCACTTAAAACATAATCAATTAAAAATAAATTTAAATGGAGGAAAGACCTCCTGGAGCCTTTTAGGAAGAGGTGGGACATGGATGAAGTTATACCTCAGCTGTGGGATGCTTACTTATCTCATTGACTCTCAGAGGGTCATAAGTGGAGCATTCATCTTATTTAATGAGTATTTATTTAGAAATTAGTAGCCTAACACTCTTGGAAGGGCTCTGAGACTCCATCTCTATTCTCCAGACTCAGATTTGTAAAACAGAATACATGAAACCATAGTCAGTGCCTGTATGTTGGGTTGGGAGGAAAGGTATTCAGAGGCAGCATGCAAGGAGGAAGTGTGGAGTGCCTTCCTTCCTGAAGGCCAGGAAGCAGTGCAGCTGAGAAGAGAGCATCGGACCCCAGGCTCAGGCTCGGGGGTATTTCGGTTCTGCAAACTCCACCAAGAATCTGTAAGCACAGGGTCTCCAAGCTCAAATTCTAAATCAGTCAGACAAGGCCACTGCCCAAGGCCAGCTGTGAGAATTGCTCCAGACGTGGGGCAAGCAGGGTAGCTGGGCAAGATGCCTTTGGTGTAGACTCAGCATGCTTCCTGGTTTCAAAGGCTTCTCACTAAAATTCCTTCTGCAGGTTTCACTGGCATGTTGTGTGACGAGAACATCGACAACTGTGACCCAGATCCTTGCCACCATGGTCAGTGCCAGGATGGGATTGACTCGTACACCTGCATCTGCAACCCTGGGTACATGGGAGCCATCTGTAGTGACCAGATTGACGAGTGCTACAGCAGCCCTTGCTTGAATGATGGGCGCTGCATTGACCTGGTGAATGGCTACCAGTGTAACTGCCAACCGGGCACATCAGGTAGGACAGTCCCCCCCCTCCCAACCTCCCTTCCCTCTGTCCCTCCATCCAGGGCCTGTTCTCTGGCTTTGTTAGCTAAAGTGACAGCTTTCTTCCTGCTCTGTGTCTGGCAGGGCCTCAGGAATTTCAGGCAGAGGTAAGACCTTGGTAGTTGTGAAGTAGACTGCCTAGGGCTCCTCACAGGCCACCTGAGCCTGGAGGGAGGCTACTGGCTAGAGGAGTGCCTGTGCTCTGCTATCAGGAGTTCTGGAGCTATTTCACTGGGCAGCTGCATTTCACAGGTTGTCCTGAAGTCCATTTTACCTGTGAGAGGAACGATCTTGGACACAGCTATAGCTGTAGACAGAGAGATCCTGTGAGAGATCAAAGGGAAAGGTCTTAGTGGAAGATTAGCCAGTGTGAGCCTTTTTGAGCAGAAGACCTGCTGATCCGTGGGGTGATTTGGGGGACTCCTCCTGGACTTACGGAAGTCAGCCTATGGAGCGGGCAGAGGTAGGGAGAGGGTAGCTGCCCTGATTTTATTGTGTTCCTTCAAATCCATTTCTTCAAATCTGTCAAAGGTCCTGGTCTTCATCCAGGGCCTCACACATGCCAAGTTTGAAAACAAAGTCCTTTTTGAATTGCTCAAGCATACGAAAAACATCCCATGCCTTCACAGCTGAGAATGTGGGCCCCCTCCCCACGTTTAGATAACTCCCTCAAAGGGCTGAATAGAGCTTTGTGAAACCTTCCAAAAGCAATTTGCTTCCGGGCTGGTCCCCAGACATGAGAAATTGCAGTAAGAAGGAAAAGTGAGAGATTTACAAGCAGTTGAATAGGGGCCTTTAGAATGGAGGGGCTGTGGTAGGCTTGCTGTCTCCCTCACTGTAACAAACATGCTGGAAAGCTGGCGAGTGGTGGGTTGGCAAGAACTTATCTTCCTCTGGGATTATATCCTTGTGCCAGAGTGTATCAGGTAGCCTTTCCTTAGGGGATAGAGGCAAGAAGTTACTATTCATGGTTTGCAGCAGGCAGCGTGTAGAGGAAGGCCAGGCCCATTGCTGCAGCTGTTGGAGGAGTTAGAGCAAAGAGCTGCAGGCAGCATGCAGATTTGCTGGTCTGTTTTTAGTGGAAAGGAGCCGGCGTGTGCTGGGGCCTGGCTTGAAAGTCCATTTAGGGGTCATTGCGGATAGACTGTCATCGAGTGATGATTTCTGATCCAGGTAACATGCAGCCTCTGTTGGTAGTTTGGTCTTTGGAAGGAATCATCACACTTGCCTGTGATTTCCACTGTCTGGATGTCAAAGGGAGATAGACCCTGTCACTTTTAGGATCTTCTCTCCTCTGTCCTTTAAACTCTTGAGGTAATTAGTTCTCTTGAGTTTCAAGTAACCTAAAATGCCTTGATCTAGCATAAAGGAAGAAAAAAGCCAGAAAAGCAGACAGTTCAGCAACAGTATTAGAAGCCTCTTGTGGGCTCTAAGAAACAGTAGGACCCCAGACTGTGGGAGAGGACAACACAAGCAGGAGAGCTGCACCTGAGGTCCCAGAGGGCTGCTCTGTCCGTGAAGATGCTTGTGGGCAGCTCGGCTGAACCAGGACCCCAGGGACTAGAGCTGTACTGGCATGCCAGGGCTTCGTGGACTGGAGGCCAAAGGCTAGAAGGCCCATCCTTGTATACAGGAATATGAAAGCTTGCCTCTCATTAGTGGTCATTGAGGTTAACCTCATCAACATAGGAAGGACATTCTGGCTATGGAGGTGGTAATTATTAACAAACATTTGATCACTTACAGATAATACAGTTGGTGAGTAAATCAAATGGTGACATTTGGTCTAGGAGTTTTACCTGTTTATATTCTTACATGAGTTTTTACTTTTATACTTTTTATACCACAAAACAGTCTATAGGACCCACAAAGTATCTCTTAGATGCACATTAACTAATGTAATATAGTTTCCTGTTTTGTTTTAGTTAAAATGGATTCTAGAAGTGTAGGATGCTGCTGTTTCAGCTCACGGGTCAGGCTGTGGCTGCTCCTCCTGGCTTTGATGCTCTCTCAACCTGAAGGCTGAGAGTTAACAAATTACACAACAACAGATTTTAATGTCTTCACCAAAGCCATGAAATGGGCACATGTTTGTTTGGCTATGGGTGTGTAGATATGTATCCATCTGGTTGGGGCCTGCAGCCTGGATTCTGGCTAATATGCTGACAGTTTTGCCTATATTGCCTTTGTGCCATTTCCATGACAACAGAGTAGAAGGGACAAATCATGGCTAAGTATGAGTAATCCAGTCCTCTTGGTTTCTCAGTCCTGGATTCTGTGGATTGTACTTGGCGAAGCGTTGCTTTGTTCTGTTCAGATGGCCTGGATTCCCTTCAGACTTCTGACTGTGTAGCACCATAGGTGGAAGTGCTGACATTCCTGTGGTAACACAGAATCATTTCTCTGGGTCTTTTTATAGGTCTTAATTGTGAAATTAATTTTGATGACTGTGCCAGCAACCCTTGTATGCATGGAGCCTGTGTGGACGGCATCAATCGTTACAGTTGTGTGTGCTCTCCGGGATTCACAGGTAACGCTCCTCGCTTTTGGAGGGGGCCTCTGTTAGCCCCATCAAGTTGGGAAGGGGCCCCTAAGTGAAAATCACTTTTTCACCTGTTTCCTGTTTCTCATCGTGTCTGGAAGGTTTATAATCTGCTTCTGTACTTCTCTGAACCAGTTCTCTGTTTCCAGACCTTTTCTAAGTGGAAACACAGCCTTTCCTTTAGCGTTTCAGGTCATGTGTTTCTTGCTACCTGAGAATTCCTAGCAGACTGTAACTTTCCATCACTGTGCTTGAGTTAATGCCTCCAAAGCCACCTTTGTTTTCCTCCAGGCAGTGGCCAGTGCCTTCTGTAAAGTCGTGCCCAAGGTAAACATGCATGCAAACACTGACTGCTTATCTTGGGGTCGTGCCTCGTCTGGGAGCCTATTTGGGGAGGGCATAATTTGAGGAGACCACCAAATAGCTTGGCTACAGTGAGCAAGATCTTTTTGCCCATGAAAAGAAAGTAGATTAAAATAATACTGCATTGTGACTCTTCCTTAAGTCTGACCCTCTAAAGGATTTGCACATGCGCCCATAGGTGAAGTCCAGTCCACACATTCTCTCTTCTTCCTTTTCTTTGTTAATATTAACTTAATATTAATATTAATTATTATAGAGGCGCCACAGGAAACCTGGGTCCTCCTGGCAGCTAATTACAGTAAAGGTCCCATCGTTAGGATACACTGTGTGTTCTGCTCTTCCTGGACATTGCCACACATGTGCAGACAGATATAATATTACCCTTTAGTAACTGCCATGTGGTTACCTGCTCCTCAGGTGAGCAGCCCACTTCGGAGCTTTTGGCAAAGCCTAAGGACAACCAGAGCCAGGTGAAGAGAGTGTTAGGTACTCAGTTTCTCTATGCCAGTGGTATGACATGCCAGGAACATTTGTGGCTTTGGTGGACCTCAGTTCTTCCTGGTGATGAGAAGCCAGTGTGGTGAAGGTTTCATGCCCCAACCCACTGAGGTAGCCTGGTGAATTTGGGCATCCTGAAAGCTGTTCTCCCAGATACATAGGAGCTAACTAAATACACAGACCTGTTGAAGTGCAGTGTAGTTAAATGAAACAGGAAGAGAATGCCTAATTTGTATGAACAGCTTATTTTGAGCTAAGAACCAAGATGCTTGCCCCGTCTCACTTAGTTGGCACAGCTGCTACTGTTCTTGTAGTATTGAGGAGAGGGCAGAGAGCAGAGAGGCAGGGTGATGTTCTCAATGCTCTGCAATCAGGGGTCTGTCTGCCCCAGGCATCTGACCCCAGAGCCCAGGTTCATTCCCATTGCATGGCCAAGAGGGTGCATGTTATGGTTTCCTTTGGGATTTATTTAAGACTTCTCACCGGACTTAGTTTTTTAAATGTCAGTGAATCATATTCTGTCTGTTTTTAACATTCAGCAAATCAGCAGGGTCAAAGAGAGGGCACATAGGCTAAAAATACTCTAAAATAAACATAAGGTGTAGCATGAAACTACATAACTGAGAGATGGAATGTTTTGGTTGCTGGGTGGTGCCCTCTTCTTGGGAACTGTTTTCTGGTCCAAGAGGCTGTTTTGTAAATCTGTTGCTGGAAATGTCTAAGAGTCATGATCCATAACTGTGAGGTATTTGGGGTTTTTTTCTTCTATTTTATTTTAATCATTCCCCCTGCCATTTTCATAGGCGCTTTAGAAGATCCGAGAGAGGCCCTTGTCTTTTCTCTTTTTAAGGCTGTTCTTGTTCTCCCATGATCCCTAGATACTCCGATTAGGTGGGAGAAAGTCAGGCATCATGTGATCCTATAAACACCTTTCTGTTTTCCAAAGCCCCTGGTAGTGTTTGGATTACAGGCTGATGGCAGACTCCCATAATCCTAGCTGTTCTGGAAGCTCATGCAGGATGGTCACAAGTGCATGGTCTGCTGGACCATGGACTGAATTCAAGTCAGCTGGGCAACTTAGTAAGAGCTGGCTTCAAAATGAAAAGTAACAAAAGCAAACAACAAAATCAGGGCTAAGAGATAAAGTGCCAAAGTAGAGTACTTGCCAGCATGCATGAGGCCCTGGGTTCAATCCCAAGTACCAAAATCCAAACCAAGAACAAGAACAACAAAACCCAAACAGTAAAACAAACCAAAAATGGTCTCCACAAAACAAACAAAAAGCCCAGCCTCTCCCAGATCTACTGTCTTCCTAAATTCTCCTAACCATCCATAAATGGAGTTGTTCAGACCTCAGTTAACGAGTATGGCCGCAGAGATGGACCTTAATAAGCCAGTGAGCTACAGAGTGCATGCACTCCTCCCGGGGCATGGAACCTCTTTCTCATCCTTTGGCTGTAGTTATCACAGAAGAAATTCTCAGGACACGTTGGCAAGTGAATAGACTACTTCTGCTATCCAGCCTAGACCCCGTGGTCCACACTGCAGCATGCCATCATCCTTTATACACTGAGTAATTTACTGTAAATAGTAAGAAACACACAGTAATTCTCGTGTTGATCATCACTGCGCCCCACAAGGTGCAGACCTGTGACTAGCCGTTTCTGATACCCAGTGGACACTATGACGGCAGAATACTACAGAGGTAGCTGCCAACCTACTTGTGAACTACAGGAGTAGGGGTGGTGCCAACTCACATCAAAACAGCTTAAAACTTTATCTTGGAAATTGTTTAAAGGCAAATAGGGGTTTGGGGATGTAGCTCTATGGAGGAGTGCTTGCAGACACACACACACACACACACGGTGGCTCATGCTGAACATTTGGAAGACTGAGGCAAGATATACAGAAGAAAATGGCAGCTATCCTAGACTGTGGGTCTTTACCACAGGAGCCGACAAAGATGGTTCACTGTGCACAGGAGGCTGTCAGCCTGCTAATACCTTACTTTAAAGGGCATGCCTCTTTTATTTGGAACTTTTTGAACTAAATAAATATAGTGTTACTCTTTCTGAAATTAATTTTAAAAAAAAAGATCTTCAAACCTGATTTAGGACATTGTGTTCTTGAAGTTCATAAATTCCTTCATAATAGTTGCTAGATTTCACTCCCAATGCTATAGGAAAAAGTTTAATTTCGAAGCATTTCAGAATGTTAATTCTCAACTTTTATAAAAAAGACATTTGTATGTTTAGTCCTTAGCATTGTAGGCAGCATAAGGCAGCGGTGAGGAAGGCTATAGCAGACAGGCCTTCAAAATTCAGTCATGGGTGTGTTCTGGCAAGACCATGTCTACTTCGATTTCATGTCCTGCCAGCACCTATATTTTTAGAGCTCTAGTGCCTGAGCCACAGAAACCATATTAAGGGTGGTTGTCAGGCCCAAGCCGGCACAGTCTGTGGCAATGGGGCCTAGAAATTGTCAATGTTTTTAAAAACCATTTTATTTACTTATTTATTTATTGTTGATGCCTATGAAGGCCAGAAGACGACGTTGGGTTTCCTGAGGTAGAGTTATATGCACTTGAGAGCCATCTGACATAGGTGCTGGGAACTGACCTCTGGTCCTGAGCAGTCAACATTCTTAACCTCTGGACCGTCTCTCTAGCCCTAGAAACCACATTTCAAAGAGACATTTGTACATTAAAGTTTGAAAACCACTGGTCTAGACTGGGAGTCACTGAAGTGTTTTCTCAATTATTAGAGGGCAGTAAATGCTTGCTTATAGACTACTGACAGAGGAAGAAAGTGAGTTAGCCCTATTCTAAGAATGAAAGCAAAGTATCTATTTTTTTTTAATCAGTTTAACATTAAACTAGCAGTCTGTTCATATCCCAGCTAATTGTGATTAATCAGAGATGAGAATGTAAAGCCTTGACTGAGGAAAAACGTAGAACACATGTGAGGCAGAGCTCTTCGTGCACACACGGCAGTGCCAGGAGGGGCAGCCATCTCTGGTGATGTCTGATGGTCTCCTTAATGCTTGTGAAGTTCTCAAGTTCTAAGCTAGATGCAGTCTTCCTGAGAGTGCTGCGGCTTCGATCTGCTGTCGTTAGTAACTTCCCTTCCTTATTAATTGCAAGTGCTCCTTGAGCCTTCCTTGCATGGTGTGACGTGCTTCTCCCTGTTAGTCCTTGAACCTTACAGCCTGCTTCCATGGAGAGTGTCTGCATCTGCATCTCATCATTCTCACCCTGCTCCTTGAGAATTTAAGTTTGAGTAACATGGCCCCTGACCCCCTCTACAGGGCAGAGGTGCAACATTGACATTGATGAGTGTGCCTCCAACCCCTGTCGTAAGGGTGCGACGTGCATCAATGATGTGAATGGTTTCCGGTGTATATGCCCCGAGGGACCGCATCATCCCAGCTGCTACTCACAGGTGAACGAGTGTTTGAGCAATCCCTGCATCCACGGAAACTGTACCGGAGGTCTCAGTGGGTAAGTAGCTGCCATCTGCTAGCTAGTAGCTGCTAATTGGCCAGTTGGCTTTTAAAACCAACTGAAGGAAATACTGACATGATAGCTTGAATCTGTCAGTTGGGAACTTGACCTGATATTTAGGTAAAGGTTTTGATGGTCTGTGTCAAAGTCTTTCAGATCACTGCACTGTCTATAGAAGCTGGCCCATCTTCTCGGACTGAGAACTTACTTGAGAAATAAGGACTGTCTCCTTTACATAAGTAATCAACAAGGACCCCATGGGAAGGTCCAGGAATTCATGCATCTAGCAGTTATGTTTTAGATTACAGGATTGAGACCTGAGGAGTGTTCTAGACTGACACCCCACACACCTTAGCACAGTTTGTCCCTGTTCTGTCCTGGAGCCTGTGATAATGCATTTGCCCCTGCATACCCTCAGAGTTGTGTGGCATGTGATGGTTTTAGAACAAGAGTGTCTTAGACACTATGAGAGGCCATGTACTCTTGTCATAAGACAGCATGGTCATGGCCACACCTCAAACCTAAAAGAATGGAGAATGTGTTTGATAAGTTTGTTTTCTTAATGGTTTAACCTAGCTCTCTGATCCAGAACATGATGATCTTCAAAGCAGCCCTCCACAGCTCACCCCTCCTCCACTCTCTCTCCACCCTTCCCCCACTGCAGCTCCCCTTCTCTGACTGATCTGATATTGCATTTAAGGACTAATGATGTTCAGGTCAGATATTATATGTATTTCAGGTATTTTCAGCTTTTCAGCTTTTCTTGCTCAACACCACGATTTCTGAGGCAGGGTTTTGATCTGAAGAAAGCATGACTGACCTGTAAGACTCCAGTCAATCCTCAGAAGGCTTGAGTGGCTTCTTTTCTGATGTCTAGTTTGTACTAGGGATTCTGAGCTTTGTTCATGTTAATGTTCCTTCAGATTGCCCCAGTGTACCTGACAAGCTATTGCCTGTGTTTGCAGTTCACCAGCTTCCTAGTGATCCAGGGAAGCACCATGTAGGTCTTCCAACTGAGCCTACTAGATGGATTCATGACTCTTACCATGTGACAGTGGTTCCAGTATAGATCCATAGGAAAGTAGAAATGAGCTAATGCCTGTAATCTTTGTACTAGGGAAGCCTAAGCAGGAGGATTACCAGGAGTTAGAGGTGAGCCTAGACCACATAGAGAGTTCTAGATAAGCCTGGGCAACAGAGTAAGACCCTGTCCTCAAAATACCAGACAAAAGAAAAGGAAGGATGAAACTGGCTTTCACCTATTTCTTATGTATCTCTTATGACTCAGTTGTACCTTTGGACTGCATAATAACACCTCTGTCTTCTTGCAGCTATAAGTGTCTCTGCGATGCAGGCTGGGTTGGTGTCAACTGCGAAGTGGACAAAAATGAGTGTCTTTCTAACCCATGCCAGAATGAAGGAACCTGTAATAACTTGGTGAATGGCTACAGGTGTACATGCAAGAAGGGGTTCAAAGGTGAAATGAAGACCCGAATTGTTATAACTGCTGTTTGTCTTCCCTTGTTGTACGCTGGTCCACATCTTGTTTCCGTTTGTTTTTGTTGGTGTAGTTTACAAATACAGTAAATATGCTGAGCACTTAGTGTTTCTGAGACATGTGGGGAATAAAAACTCGAGTAGATACCTTTCTACCTTCAGCCTACCAGAGAGATAAAGTCTTGGCACAGCAATACTTAAGATGAGCAGTTCAGACTCCACTTAGGGGCTGGCAGATAGCTCTGTGGGTAAAGGTACCTGCTGACTGACAATCTAAGTCCTAGTGTCTAATTGTAAGCTTCTTAGCCAAGGTCTGGTTCTATAATAAGTCAGATAGCTTCTTGGACTGAGATGAGAGTGTTGTACTTACCGGCACTGGACCCTGTGATGTGCTCAGGACCTTCCCAGCAAATTCTTACACATGAGCTATTCTGAACACTTAGTTTCCTGTGTTCTTTTGGAAAAATACATAGCAGAGGAACATGTCTCCAAAATATTTTACAATCAGTTTTCCCTGTGTTGGGCTATTTGACACTTTGGTGTGTTTTAGAACTACTCATTTTGATTACAGGTTGAGTAGCCCTAACTCCAAATGTGGAGTCTTTCAAAATCGGGAACTTTTTGAACATCAGCATTAAGTGAAAGTTCGTGAAATCGTGTATATTTAAGTCACCCTCAGTGTGTGTGGAAGGATAATTGGAGGGAGACACAGTCACATCCTTCAAGTAGCTTGTTATTTATTTGTAAGTCCTCACTCTATCCTACCCTTAAAAAATCCTGAACAGATGAAGCACCATGACCAAATGCAAGCTGGGAAGGAAAGGGTTTACTTGGCTTCCACGTTGCTGTTCATCACTGAAGGAAGTCAGGACAGGAACTCATACAGGGCAGAAACCCAGGGGCAGGAGCTGATGCAGAGGCCATGGAGGGCGCTGCTTACTGCCTTGCCTCCCATGGCTTGCTCAGCCTGCTTTCTTATAGACCCCAGGACCACGAGCCCAGAGCCCAGGGATGGCCCCACCCACAATGACTGGGCCGTCTGCCATCAATCACTAATTAAGAAATGCTCTATGGCCTTCCCCACAGCCAGATCTTTTAGGCACTTTCTGTATTGAGGTTCTGTCTGTCAGTAAAGTCTGTCAGCTTTAGTGTATATCACAATAATATAACTGTCCAGCACAGATACCAAGTATTTCAGAGAAAAGATACCCAGATGACACCAGACAGATTTAGGAAGTCTCTACGTCAGACACTAATGTTCTGATATATTATGTTACATTTGCCAAGAAAGTTATAGATTCAAAAGCACTTTTCTTCTTTTTTTTTTAATCTCACTATAATTTACTTATCAGTGATCACATGGAAAATGAGAATATAAAATCAAAACCTGTTTGTTCAGTGAGCTGTGAGCACCTTTGAGGCCTGGTCTCTGGCTCCCTGCTCCCTCTTGCTCACAGTGCTCTGGCTTCTCCATCTTTAAGGGTCTTGTTGGGCCACATTGGAGGTACAAAGATGGACAGATTCTGGTCCTGCCTTAGTCCTACTCTTCCTTACTTTTTTTTTTTTAATCTTTTAGTAGGAATAAATTTTCTGCCTTGAAATAGGAGAACTATTTTCAAGGCTTTAGTCTCTGATAGCAGAGACCACACAGGTGGAAGAGTGGGCACACTTGAGGGGTTTTCTCCATGAGTTTGCCCGTTTTCTTATCAGAAACTTCCTGTTAAACGGCCCATGTTTAGGTAGAGCAGCAAGCTTTTCAGCATAGTGAGTTCTCAGTTCATCTTGGAGAATCCAGTTATACAGGGAGGAGCATTAGGCCTCATCAGGCACTCCCTTCACAGTTTTGACCAACCATTGGCTGACTGTGTATCAGAGACCCCAAACTAGAATGAATGAGCAGGTGCTCCCATGACCCAAAGACATGAGTGTCATTTCCACGACATCTAATTGTCACCAACCACTAGGCGAGCTGGTTAGTAGCTGAGGGTGACAGTTTCAGTGTTTCCCTCTCCTCCTCCAGGCTACAACTGCCAGGTGAATATAGACGAGTGTGCCTCAAACCCGTGTCTGAACCAAGGAACCTGCTTTGATGACATTAGCGGCTACACTTGCCACTGCATGTTGCCTTACACAGGTGGGTATGGCAGGCGCCGGCGTGGCTGGAGGGTGTGTGTGTCCTGTGCCAGGCAGTGCAAACACACAAGGTCTGTGACTTGGGTCAGTGGCGCTGCTCTGAGGACTCACTTTGGTGTCACTTATGGTCTCCGAGGCAATGCCTTGAGCTCTGAGGAAACATGGTGGCAGGAAACAGATTCCTTTCTTTATGCTTCTTTGTGTTTGGGTTTTTGTTTGTTTGTTTTTCTGGTGCTGGGGATTGAACCCAGGACTTTGTGTCTCCTTAGTAATGTTTTGTTTTTGTTATTGTTGTTTTTATTTTTTAAGTATTATTCTTTCATCCCTGTTGCAGTTGCCCCTCCCTCCTCTCCTGTTAAGTTGTTCAGTGAGTTTCAGGGGTGCAGCTCTCCTGAGTCACTGCCCATGTTGGCGTGAACTTTTAGATGACATAGCCTTTGAGTAGCCCATGCTATTGTGAGTCACCCTCAAGGGCTCTACAACTGACTTACACCCCAAGCCCTGTGTTTTACTGTTTGCGGTTTTAAAGTTATATATGTGGAGAACTGGGTGCCTGCTTGGCCCAGTGTCATCCATCCTTTTGACATTTTAACATAATATTGTGGAAAAAATTCATGGTACTGTGTTTTTCTTTCTGAATACAAAATTTTAGGATGACTTTTAAAGTTGACTTTGTTGTAACTTGACTTCAGAAACAATTGAATAGTCTGTAAAACCCCTCAGTGGGTAAAGGCACTTGTCACCGATCCTAAGAATGAAGCATTGAGTCTCTAACCTTCTGAAAACTAATGTGATTTTAAAACATACCTTGATCCTCTTTTTAGTGAAATCATTTTTACTTCTTTTAATTTTTCTCTAAGTTTGAATTCAGTATTCTATGGCAGGAAACAGTCATTGGCAGGCAGACGTCAGCATCCCACTGATAGCAGTAGAGATTGCCTGGCAACAGAGATGCAGGTGTACAATGTACAGAGCTGGCCCAGGGGTAACAGTGGAGGAAGCAGCCAGCAGAGAGGTTGCGGGTTCATCCAGTGCTAGATGGGACTAAGAGTGCACGTCCCACTTAGTCCACAGAAATCCTCCCTGAGGACACGCTAAGGACACTTCAGAGAGATAAGTGAGCTTTCCAAGGTCACCAGGTTAGCTGCATTGGGCCAGTAGTGGAAGGAGCAGGTATCTCTCAGATCCTACAGCAGTGGTTCTCAACCTGTAGGTCACGTGCAAATCAGATACCCTGCACATCAGATATTTACATTATGATTCATAACAGTAGCAAAATTATAGATACGAAGTAGCAATGAAAATAATTTATGGTTGGGGTCACCACGGCATGAGGAACTGTACTAAAGCGCCCCGGCACACCACTGAGCTAGAAGCTCTTGGCTGCTGCTGTAGCCTGGGGTCTGAGCACATCGAGGTTTACAGTTTCAGGATGCCCTCTTTTCCGTGCTTGATTCTTTATCATAGACTGTCACTTGTTTTCCAGGCAAGAATTGTCAAACAGTGTTGGCTCCCTGTTCCCCAAACCCGTGTGAGAATGCTGCTGTTTGTAAAGAGGCACCCAATTTTGAGAGCTTCACCTGCTTGTGTGCTCCTGGCTGGCAAGGTAATGATAGCCGGATGCATTCTGCACTTGAAATAAAGCAGTCGGGCCCTCAGATGACACGGGAGGCCATAGGCTGCTGAAGCCTGTAATCTTCGTAAGGAGCTAGTAGCTGGAAGGGCTCATAAGACCTTTCCAGGTTCCATCTTTATAGTCCTCAAGTAGCTGAGACCCAAAACCCAAGAATTTCAAGTTATGAGTAGCAGTTGGGAGGAGTTTCTCAGGTACATAAAGGCCTTTCCGGGACTTCTTGCATCAAAACACCCTAAGCTCACGGTATACTGAAGCTCACACCTCTCTAAGCTTACACCCTGCCTTGATTTCTGTGGGAACTTTCTTCCAAAGACTGACTATTCATTACCCTCTCTTTATAGGTCACCGATGTACAGTTGACATTGATGAGTGTGTCTCCAAGCCGTGTATGAACCATGGCATCTGCCATAATACTCAGGGCAGCTACATGTGTGAGTGTCCTCCTGGCTTCAGTGGTATGGACTGCGAGGAGGACATCAATGATTGCCTCGCCAGTGAGTACACCTGCCCCGGGTCCCCAGGGAGAGAAAGCCCACAATTATTGGTCTGGTTTGAGGTCTCCGGCTTCTGTGACATTAATAATACTGGATCCTTACCTGGACTCCTAGTTAACCTGTTGTTGCACAGTGTCATGGAGATCCTGCAGCTTTGAATCAGCAGAAATGGCCCATTTTTGTGTCCCTGCCTTTAACAGATGATATAAATTTTGGGGTCGGCCAACTCAGAGCCCTGGATCTGGGCCTGGGTGGTAGCTGGTTAGCCTACAGGCTCTCCCTGACCCACATCTCCAGGGCACGCTTCAGCACTCCTTTGGCTGGGACACCAATGTCTCTACCTGCAGGAGGCGGGGTCACCTGTCCTGCTCCGCATTCAGCTCCACTGTGCTGCCCAAGCGAGGTACAGGGTGTGCTCCCCCAAATGCTACAGCCACTGAGGGGGTTCTCTCCCAGTCTCATGCCCTCTGCAAGCTCTCCTGACAAAATGCAGGTGGCTGGGGGGTCAGGAGGCAGGGCATCACGCTCACACCCACACCCTCAGGGCCAGCTCACCTGCGCTGCCACCAGCAGGGTCAGCTCCTCTGCTCAGCCTGCCTTATCATAGTACCCAGGAACCACAGTGGCTGGGATCCTCCCACGTTAGTCATTAATAAAGAAAACGCCAACACAGACTTGCCTACAGGAAAATCTGATGGTGGCATTTTCTCAGATGACTGTGGTTTGTGTTGAGTCCACAAAAACAAACAAACAAACAAACAAAAAACCCTGCATGGCACATTACCTAACTGACTCATTTTCAATTTTTTGGTACAGGTCCATTAATAATAAGTCTTATTTCACCCTGAATAGCTATGAGATGTGTGCTAACTTTCCTTCTTGAATCTGGTAATTTCCTTCTCTCTTGGAGAAGAATCTGTTTGGATAGAATTAGTTTCCTCACTCTCCTAGCTCAGGCTGCCCTGGGAGTCTCTGTGCAGTCCATGCTGGCCTTGAACTCATGGCAGTTTTCCTGCCTCACCATCTAAATGCTGAGATTACAGTGTGAACCACCAAGCCTGACTCTTTTCTTCTTGAACATATTTTGGGCTGTGCTAAATGACTCTGATAAAGCAGTGACCACTTGACCTTTCAATTCATTGCTTAAATTTTCATTTCATATTTGTGGTGGTTTCTGCCATTGTAACTTAACACCCTTTATGCCAGCAGCTATGTCATGGTTTTATTGCTTTAATCCCTGTGTCATTAGATTGTTCGAGGATCTGCTATGACTATAACTCAGAACTTGTTGACATTACTGGGACTGAAGTGATTTTTTAAAAAGAGAATCAAGTAAGAGAGAAGTACAGGAGGGCAATTGATTTATACAGTGTTCTTGGAACAGACCAAATGTGTAACCCGCTCCTTCAGCCTCCACAAATATCTTTTGAAAATACAATATTACCAAATTGTATGTGTTAAACCACATGATTGATTTACATGTGTGTAGAGGACCAATGCAAGTGTTATGACTATTAGTTACACAATGGTGTTAATATACGTTAGATTGATCTTGATTTTCAAACATTAAAAAAAAACTCAGGCAAGTGTTCACTGAATTCATTTTTCATGATAAGGTTCATGTCAGAATAAATGTAAAGGGGTCAAATATGGAAGCTGGAATGTGCTTCTTAAGGGTGTGGCTTGGCCTGGGTCATTCGCCTTCACAGTACTGCTGTCCTGAGTCCCACTTCTTTTGTCCTGTCTCAGACCCCTGCCAGAACGGAGGCTCCTGCGTGGACAAAGTGAATACCTTCTCCTGCCAGTGCCTTCCCGGGTTCATAGGGGATAAGTGCCAGACGGACATGAATGAGTGTCTGAGTGAGCCCTGTAAGAATGGGGGCACCTGCTCTGACTATGTCAATAGTTACACCTGCACGTGCCCCGCGGGCTTCCATGGAGTCCACTGTGAAAACAACATTGACGAGTGCACTGAGAGGTGAGCAGGGTGGACCTGGGTACCAGCAGCTCACAGGAGGGGGAGAGAGGGGAGGTAACATCACTGCAGCTCACAGGAGGGGGAGGGAGGGGAGGTAACATCACTGCAGCTCACAGGAGGGGGAGGGAGGGGAGGTAACATCACAGCACAATGCCAGGATTGTAGGGCAAGGATGAGCTCCACTTGAGACCCTTTCCACAGTCGTGTCTCATTGCTCAGGGTTTGAAAGACATGTAACTGGAAGGTCAAAGGTCAGAGGCTGAAAGGCTTTAGTGGGCTAGACCATCACTTATTTCTTGCTGAAGAACAGAAGAGCCATCAGTTCTGTTCTGTTCTCCTGCCTCTTTGTTCCAGATGTCAGATTTCTCTTTCTTTGTAGATCTGTTACCATGGTCTAAGTAGTTTTTAGAAGGTTTGTTTGATTTCTTTTTATTATTTTAGCAATGTGTTTATTCTCTTTCATGAAGAAATCTAGAATGAAAAGCTGTTTAGAACTTTCCATGTAAGGCCAATTGATTTAATGATAAAATGTTATGGAAAAGAACTCTCTTCAGGAGTCTAGACAGATCTGCCATTGAAATGCTCCTAGGACGGGTATTGGAAAGGAAGTTGATACTGTAATCTCTGACTCCCAGTCTAGTTTAGAAGACTTTAAAATTTACTGGGCATAGGCATTGGAGTCTCAGAGGTGTTTGTCCAGTTACATCGTAGACTTCAGCAGAGAGACTGCAGTAGCAGCTCAGCGCCTCAGCCCGAGTAGCTGAGGTTGCCTCTCATTTGTTCCTCAGCTCCTGCTTCAACGGCGGCACGTGTGTTGATGGAATCAACTCTTTCTCTTGCTTGTGCCCCATGGGTTTCACTGGGCCCTTCTGCCTCCATGACATCAATGAGTGCAGCTCTAACCCGTGCCTGAATGCGGGGACGTGTGTCGATGGCCTGGGTACCTACCGATGCATCTGTCCCTTGGGCTACACCGGGAAAAACTGTCAGGTAATCAGCTTCCCTCCCGCTCACCCGGCTCCTCACAGTAGATGAGGACCCTGTCTAGTTTCCAGGCAGGATGAACCATTCGAAAAGGTGGTCCCTGAGGTGAATCTGAGCTTCTTCTTGATAGCTAGAAGAGTCCAGACTGGTGATACCAGCAATGCCATATGGGCTAACAAGCTTCTGGTTGTTTGAAGAGGCTTACCAAGAGGAAAGTGTGACTGACAGTGAGCACATACATACCTTTCACAGGATGTGCAGGAAGAACAGTTGTTAGCTTTTCATTGTTAACCTAAAAAAAAACAAAATAACAACAAAAACAACTTAATAGGAGGTTTGTTTGGGTTTGTGGTTTTAGAGATTTTAGGCTTCACTGGCTGCTTTTGTTTATGGGCCTGAGACAAAGGTAAGTGTCATAGTGACAGAGCTGGTATAGGACTCTTCTCATGGTAGCCTGAAGCAGAGAGGGAAAAGGAGAAGGGGAAGGGGGGAAGACAAGGGAAGAGCGGAGCAGAGACAGATGAGGCAGGGAAAGCCAAGAACAAGATGTAGCTACCCCAAACATACATGTACACAGCGAGCCACTTTTCCATCCGGTGTTTCCTCTAGTTCTCAGAATTGTTCAAAAATATCCATCATTGAGAACCAAGCCCTCAACACATGAGCCTCCAAGGTCATTTCATATTCAAACACAGGACAGAGCAATCAAAATCACAGCAGTAAATACCAGGTATAGCTAACAGGGGAATGCTTTGCAGTGTTATAACATAGCCATAACCAAACTATATATCTTTAAAACTCAAATATGTAAATACAAATCTATATATAATTAGGATGGAAGGAGTCCTCACAGGAAACTAACTTCAGTTCATGAAGGAGAAGCAGCTTCCACCTGATCCCCAGAAAGGATAGTTTCCAAACTTTCCAATTCACATACAAATGGTAATTTATGCTGCTTTCCATCTTCGGCATTTATCCAGTTATATGTCTTCTATAAGAGTAACAGAACTCAGAGAGCTCATGAATAAGTGACTAATTACAGAAGGCGTTTGATGACATTGGACTCAGAAGCAGCCACCTCCACGTGAAGCAGCTGGGTCTTGTTCCACCCTCCACTGGCCATTTTTCAGCCAGCAGCAGTCTGTGTCAGGAATGCAGCCCCCTTTCTGCCTCATGTTATTCATGAGCCTGGTATTGAAAATAAGGTTTTGAACCATTTAGGCTTCTGAATTGGATCATTTCCCCCATCTTCCCCATAGGCAGGGCTGGTCAGGGTGCATGAGGTCCTGCAGTGCTAGCATAGGAAGCATGGGCCCAGACAGCAGCCTTTGCCAGCCTTGCAGGGAGGCCACGCATGCTCACATAGTCACGTCTAATGCTCTGAGGATAACAGCTTACTGAGCCTCTAGAGTTGTTAGGTTCCTATGGCAAGGGCTTTTAAAATGACACTGGCCAGACAAACGAGACTATAAAGTGACAGAGTCTAGGACAGTGAGCCCAGTATCTTGAGTGAAGGCGTCCTTTTCTTTTTAAAACCAGTCCTTTCCTTTGACATCTCGTGACACACTGTAACTTAAGGACTTCACTTCTGGTATCTGGATTTTGATGCATGCACACCCTTGCCTTCACTTCAGACCCTGGTGAACCTCTGCAGCCGGTCTCCATGTAAAAACAAAGGAACTTGTGTTCAGGAAAAGGCAAGGCCCCACTGCTTGTGTCCACCTGGATGGGATGGTGCTTACTGTGATGTGCTCAATGTGTCCTGTAAGGCAGCTGCCTTGCAGAAAGGTAAGCTCCACCCCTAAGCATCAGGGTCTGACATACATGCTGGCATCCTGGGGCCCAGTACTGAAGGGACAAGGGTCTGAAGAAAGGCTAGAGGAACATTTAGAGATCTCAAAGAGAAAGGTGATTAAATTAAGAACTAGACACAGGTGAAGAAAATCCCAGAACAGCCATCAGCTGGGCTCACTTGCATTTGGGTTGAACGTGCCGTGTGTCACACTCTCTGACGCTTCTCTCTTCACCTGGTGTCCCAGGAGTACCTGTTGAACACTTGTGCCAGCACTCAGGCGTCTGTATCAATGCTGGCAACACCCATCACTGCCAGTGCCCCCTGGGTTACACAGGGAGCTACTGTGAGGAGCAGCTTGACGAATGTGCGTCCAATCCGTGCCAGCACGGTGCCACCTGCAATGACTTCATCGGAGGGTACAGATGTGAGGTGAGAAGATGGCTGGGCTCAGAGGGCTCCCAAGAGACAGTGCTGGTGTTAAAAACACTGGTTACTGAGTTCAGCTGTTCGTGTCCTACAGAGTATAAATGTCTGCCCGTCCTTATCAGCGTCTTTAGCAGCCAGTGTTTTTATTTTCAGCCATGCTTTCCCGTAGCTCTGGTAAGATGTCTTCATAGAGTCTGGCCCAAACTGGCTTGCTCTCTATGTTGGCATCCTGCAGGCTCACCTAGTACAATAGTCCCTCTGCTTCCTGAAGAGCAACACAGTTCATCAGCCAATGAGTAACTCTCTCAAACAAACAAACAAACAAAAAGTGTGGTCTCACCTGTTGTACCACAGCACCGTGCTCGGTGTTACTGTGTGTAATGCTTATGTGTGTGTCACTTTTCAACGTTTGGACTGATAGAAGTTAGAGCTGGATGTTAACCAAACACCAGAATGGGAACCTGAAACCCACCAGACCACCAAGCAACAGCAGAAGCCCTCTCTCCTGCAGACCACCAAGCAACAGCAGAAGCCCTCTCTCCTGCTGCCTCCGTCGGAGCAGGATGCTCTCAGAGCAGACCAGATCTGTTAGTTCAGAAGCCTGCCGCTGCTCAATTCAAACTTCTACACATCTGACTTTTTTTTTTTTTTAAATAGCCCAAATGAGCAGAATTGTAGCCATTTAATGTTGCCTGCCTGGTGTAGCCTGCAAAATGGCATGCAGTAAGTGTATCTTAGGTAAGATCAGCTCTGGAATCCAAGTAGCCCAGACTCCCTCGGGAACTCGCTCACCGGAAGACTTGTTGCTGGGTCATCGAATGTCACCACATAGTTTTAAGCTCCCTCTATGGTATCCCTTCTTTCAAAGTTTGCTTCTCCCTTCTCTTCTGTAGTCTTGTGCTGTGAGGGAGTTCCACTGCAGGCACTGTTGCCATAACGGTGCCTAAATGAAACTTCCCCCACAGTTGTCTTTTTCCTTATCAAGTCTTATTTCTCCCAATTCCTCCATCTCCACCCTCCCTCTCCATCGCCCCGCCCCCTCTACCCTCCATCGCCCCGCCCCCCTCCATCGCCCCGCCCCCTCTACCCTCCATTGCCTCGCCCTCCCTCTCCATCGCCCCGCCCCCTCTACCCTCCATTGCCTCCCCTCCCCTCCATCGCCCACTGCCTTCAGCCTCATCGTTTGCCCCTTCACACAGTCGCGCAGTGGACGCCGCGTCTTTACCACTGCACACACATGCTGTTTGAGCTTTGGGCTGCTTATCACGTGTGAAGGGGTGCACAATACACGGTTGAGGAAATCCTTACCCAGACGTTTTGCTTGGCAGGATCTTGTGGAAATGACCCTCAGAACATACAGTCCTCACTTTCCTTTAAAGTAGCTTGGGGGTGGGGAGATGGGGCTGAGAGAGAAATAGGTAAACCTGACCCGGCACAAGGAAGTAACAGAGAACGCAGTGGTTACAGAGGGATGGATACACAGTTGCTTAGTGGGGTGGAAAGCAAAGTCATGGTGACCTGACCTCTCCTTGGCCCTGTGGTCCGTCTCCAGCAGTAACCCCATTCCCCATGTCCTTTTCTCCTGGCAGTGTGTTCCAGGGTATCAGGGTGTCAACTGTGAGTATGAAGTGGACGAGTGCCAGAACCAGCCCTGCCAGAACGGAGGCACCTGCATCGACCTTGTGAACCACTTCAAGTGTTCCTGCCCGCCGGGCACTCGGGGTATGCGGTCTGCTTTACTCTTCCCACCAAGGCCAGTTGCTCAGCTGGACATGCATTCTTAGTGCTAAAACAATTCTTAAAAACTGAGACAGTTTAAAGAACACTACCTTCATTGTAGCCACTTACCTCTTCATCTCTGCTCCAACCCCCCACCCCCTCTGATCTTCTGCCAGCTTCGGTTCAGGTTTGGTTGTTTCTTAGCTTATGTTCCAGGAAACAGAATGCAGAATGGACGTAACCCTGGATAACAGGGGGTTTTGGTGCTTCAAGCGAAGTCAACCAGCAGCCTCTTAGAGGAAGTGAATCCACATAGGCCTGCTCTTTAATTGTTTAAGCTAGCCAAGTCTTGTGTCCATAGAATGAAGAAATCTATGTGATGTGTTTGGCTGCTGTCCCAGGAGGCTGCGGATGGAAAGCTGCTGTCTTGCACCTGCACCCCTGGACTGTGGGCGGTAGACCCATCAGTGTGCTCTGGGACTTGCCACCTGCTCCAGACTGTCTCCTGGAGAGAGCATTGCTTGTTAAGAACATCTGGTGCTGAAGGTTCTGCATAGCCTGTGAGCAACATGGCAAAGATAGCAGTCATAAGTTGAGGCAGCAGTCAAACAGAAGGACCCTCAGAGAAGGCTTTGTGTTGGCTTAGACTTTTGTGCCAGTGCATTTGGAAAACTTTTCTTCCTAGAGATCAAATTTGGCTAAATTAAGGCAGAAAATACTCCATTAATAGGTACATAGTACAAAATGAATCTTAGGGAAGGGAGAGCTGAGGACCAGCCTGAAACTGTTTTAAAATTCATTACATGGAAAAAGGAGGGTTGGTTCCTAGTCTAGAAATAGGAAATTCCATGGTAGAAGGAGTTGGACTCAGTTCCAGATGCTTTCTTACTAGTGTATTCCTTTGTATTCACCCGCCCACCCATCCACCCATCCATCCATCCATCCATCCATCCATCCATCCATCCATGCATCCATCCATCCATCTTTTGTGACAGGGCATTTTTGAGTAGTAAAGGTAAATGCATAAGGAAAGAACCAAATTGATTCTCTATCTTCTCCTTTTGGAGGTTCATATTCATATCCCCCCCCAATCTGTTCTCTCCTTCTCTCCCAGACTCTATCTCTCTGTTTCCCTTTCTCTTCTATTCTCTCCCTCTTCCCTTTTCCCTTTCTATATCTCTTCTCCTCTTTTTCCCTCCCTTCCCTCTTCCCCTCCATCTCTTTCCCTCCCCCTTTCTCCAGTCCCCATCCCCATCTCCCTCTCTTTCCTTTTCCATTTGTTCTCATCCCTCTTCCCTTCTCTCTCCAGTCCCTCTCCCTCTTTCTCTCTCCATCTTCCCCCAGTCTCTCTCCCTCTTCCTCTCCCCATCTCTCCCTCCTTCCCCCCCCTTATCCCCTCTCTCTTGCCTTCTCCCCTCCTCACTCTTCTCCTCTCTTTTATCCCTCCTCTCTCTTCTTACCTCTTCTCCCACCTCTCTCCTTCTGCCCCCAGAATCCCAAATAGCTCCAGCCTCAAATTCACTATAGGCATGTATTACCATGCCTGGGCGGTTAATGCCTTTAAATAATGGTATTGTTTAGGACAAGCTACAATTCTGGTGGTAGCTAATTATATATATCAAGTCTCAGATAACACAATAGTGGTTTTGTTAGGGTTTTTTATTTGCTGTTTTGGCACTCAGACTTTCACAGGTGTTGGGTTGCTGCCTTTCTCTGTGCTTTTGGTCTGTATTCTCCAAGGCTGCCACAGGAAAGGGGGAGAAATGTACAGGGCTATGCAGGGGCTTTCACTCAGTGTGGAAGTGACACATCACATCCCTAGAGGTGTGTGTCAGGACCACTCACTAGTGTTCTTCCATGGCCTGTGGAGGCTGAGAGCCTAGGAGAGGGCATGGGTTTTGTACTGTACCACAGACTGCCAGTTAGACGCATCCAGTCCCAGAGTGGAAGGTCTCCTAAGACAATGAGATTTTTGTCTTTTCTAAATCAATCTCTCTCTCTCTCTCTCTCTCTCTCTCTCTCTCTCTCTCTCTCTCTTTCTCCACCTCCTCTTCTTCTTTCTTCTCCTCATCTTCCTCCTCCTTTCTTCTTTTCTTTCTTAGCTTTTGTTGTTCTTGTTGTATTGAGACAGGGTTTCTCTGTGTATCCCTGGCTCTTCTGGAACTCGTTCTGTAGACCACGCTGGCCTCAAACTCAGGGATCTACCTGCCTCTGCCTCCTGAGTGCTGAGATTAAAGCTGTGTGCCACTGCCCAGCCCCTAAATACTTCTTTGTGGCAGCTTAGAGTAATGATGTAGTATATCTGTTGATTTGTTGACTGTTTCTGTGCCAGCTCCTCAGATGTGTCTTCTCACTGACATTACTGCTGTGACCCTCACTGAGGACTTAGTCTTACTGATGGTCTCTCATACCTGGCTCTCCCTATTTCCAAGATTGCCTTTTAATGGTCTGTTATAGAGTGTGGTTCTCTTCCAGTGTGTCCTACTTGAATGTTTGTTGGATTATACCTTGTATGTATGATCTTTCCAGATGCCTGAAACAGTGTATATCTGTCGTGACTTTTCCTCTCTGGCTGTCTCTCCTGTCCATCTGTCTCCTGTCCATCAGAGACTCTTTACTTCTCTCACAGTACAGTGAGAGTTAGTCCTGTGCTTGTTCTCAGCACTGTACTCCCAGGCCTTAGATGTTGCCTGCTCACATCTCCTGCTCCCCAGTGCACAGGCTACCTGGAATACTTCTGTCATCCTGCTGTTTGCATCAGGCTAAGAATGAGGTCACAGTCTCTTGATAAGCTATGTATTACTGATAGTTCCGTCCACATGGATGCTTTATGCTTGTTTTACTCATGACACCAAATATCAAGTATCCTGTGACACTGGGAACACGGATTGGCTTTGTTTGCGTCCACTTTCTGGTTCCCAGTTTAATCTAATCTGTCAGTAGATAAGGTGATATGTGCTTGTGGACAGGGATAAATATGTCCACACATGCATAGAAAGACATGCAGTAAAGACACACTCCCTCCCAGTGTACCCACTCCAACACCACGATCTCCCTCTCCACACTACACTCTCTTTGTGTCTCTAGAGGAGTTAAAAGGTTATCTTTAAAAATTGCATTATGTGTGTAGGAGCCAAATACAAAGATAGTTTTTATTCCCTACATTGTTAACTCTGAAGATGTATCAAAGATGCTGTTTTCACTTGACCTTTTTACTTAATTGGAATATGTTCATATCAAAATAGGGAACTTCTTCAGTATTTTCTCATAGCTTCAGAATTCCCCTTTATGACAACATTATGTATTGTGCTTAACTGGTCTTCTAGTGATAGACATTGGGTTGTTTTTTTTTTTTTTAAAGCACACATATAAGTGCATGTTACAGAATGCATTTTCAGAAATAGAGTCTGCCAGGCTACTGTACCAAGTTGTCATTTAAGTGGCTGTACTGGTTGCATCCTCTCAGGGAGCCACCTTTCTCTCTATGCAGTTCAGCTTCTAGCATATTTACAAGTTACTGGTTACCCTCTGAGATGTATCCTTTTCTTCTTTCCCTGTAATAATATACTGTCTATCCTTACTATGTGCAGAAGTTGTTTGTCTTTGCTGTGTGATGTGGATATTTTCCCAATGTACTGAAGTTGTAATCTTTCAGATGTCTTATTCTGAGGTTGGAATCTTTCGGATGTCTCTGTGGTGATTTTTTTCATGTAGATTATTTCTAATCATGTTAAATTTATCCATCTTTTTTTTGGCTGCTTGCATCTGAGTGGTAGTTGGTTTTATCCTCCACGCTTCAAGATTTATAAAGGCATTCTTCTGTGTTTTTATCCTGAACTAGCATCCTGAAGTAGCTTTCTCATGTGACTAGATGGTTGGTGTTTTCTACAGTGACTTGAGATAGAACTTTTATCAAATTCTAAGCTCCTGTGTGCATTTGGGTGCTGGTACGAGCACACCCCACCCCCAGTTATTGCTGTTGTTCTATCCATTAATTCATGAGAAACTTCCAGCTATGAAAGACTCTTCTTCATGCTCTCCTGGCTGTGATTTGGTTTTTCTATATCATTTTTGAGTCAGTTTGCCATTAAAAAGTGTTGCTGATATCTTTTTGAGATCTTATTACATTTATATATAATACAGTGACTATGCCTTTATTGTGAAGAGACGCATAATCAGATAAGGTATCTTTTCCATCTGTTCACATGTCCTCTGTCTGTCCTTCAGAGCACTTGCCTGTGAGGCCTCACATCTGGTTCTGGTGTTCTCGGTCGTTTGCCTTTTGAAGCAGCTAGTGACAGGGAGGTGCTCCCGTGTCTCCTTCCCTTTCTACATCTTGCTTCTCTTAAAGTGTGCCAAAGTGTAAGTGGTGAGGATATAGGAATATTTTAGTTTTTAACCTTTTCAAATTATTTTGTGGGATAGTCACTGATTTTGTTGTTTCTAAACATGTTCACAGTTATTTTAATTAGATGGTTTATATGTTCAGTGCATATTTAGCTAGAATAATCTTCAAATTCTTAGCAAGATATTTCTACTGTTGTTTTAAATAAAAAATATTAGTGTACCTATCCTCTTTTAAAGAAAAAAAATCAGTGTTTACAAAACATAAAATACTGTTGCCCAAAATCTAATCTCAACCTAGCCTATGGAGTAACTAGAGTGTGTTCTGTTTTGAACTGCATTCATATTTTGGTTGGAGTTGACAAATGATGGAAAACTCACGGAGTGTCTCCTGAGCTTTAGCTCCCATGCCCTTGAGATGGGACAGTTGTCCCTGCTGCTCTGGATCGAGTGAAGAGCAAGTGGAACCTCGGCTGCAACTGTCCCTTATGTTGCTCGCCAGGAAGCTGCGTGAACTGCACGCAGCTGGCGTGGACTAAGAGTATTCTTTGCCTTGCCCAGTTTGAAAGGCCCTACTGTAGACTGAGGAATATAATCTAGTTAATCTTTAAAGACCACAAGGGCATTTATCCCTTGCTAATGGTGGGTTCAATCGATTTTCATAACTCTGTCTGTCTTCTCTCTCATAGGCCTGCTTTGTGAAGAGAACATTGATGACTGTGCTGGGGGCCCCCACTGCCTTAATGGTGGCCAGTGCGTGGACCGGATTGGAGGCTACAGTTGTCGCTGTTTGCCTGGCTTTGCTGGGGAGCGGTGTGAGGGGGACATCAATGAATGCCTGTCCAACCCTTGCAGCTCGGAGGGCAGCCTAGACTGCATTCAGCTCAAAAATAACTACCAGTGTGTCTGCCGCAGTGCCTTCACAGGTGAGAACCTCTCAGTCCTTGCTAGTCTGATGTGCAGGAGGCTTGAGTAAACCAACCTTGATCTATATGGGAATGTCTGACCTTCTATAGCAAGCCAAGACCAGCTTAAGTCAAGGACTCAGTGCCCAGGTTTCCTTATGTCTTTGTACCATGGGCATCATGACTAGGCTCATCTTTGCCTTTGCTTTTAGAGAGACTCTTTTGCGGTATATGGTATATCATGCTGTGGCAAGAATATGAAAAATAATCTGTTGGGGCAGAGGGCAAGATTAACATTTTTCAATTGAGATAAATTAAGCAAGTCATAAAATCTGCCATCTTCATCATATTAAGCCTACTGTGCAGTAACATTCAGCACACCCCCACTGCAGTGACTGCAGTAACATT